AGAGGAAGAAAGCGGTGGTGTTGACAGCCTGCGTGCTGAGCTACCTATCCCGTCCTCTCTCTCCTAGAAGCCGTTTCCTCTTCATTTGTTCCCTGGTGCCATTCATCTTTATCTTTCTACTGACTTCATCATTCGTTGTGCTATATCATGGCGTCTTGTGTAAATGTTTAGCTAATGATTCAGCCATCACATTTTTTTGTTAGTTTATGTGAGAATTGCAAAAAGACTTGAGAATTTTTTTAAGGAACTTTATTTTTATTTATAGTTCCATTTAAAAAGGTAGTTAGAATGTGTATATTCAGATATAGAGCGATCAAAAGTGATCTCGCATCTGTTTTCCATAAGCATGCATATTTTTAATTGACCAGTAAAGTTTTTTATGTTCAAAGTGTGCGACATGAGGTTTTGATGTCTGTGTACACTGTAGAATGGCTATGTCAAGATATGTAACATGTGCATCACCTCATATATTTACCATTTTTGTGGTGAAAACATTTAAAATCTACTCTAAGCCACTTTCAAGCATATGGTCTTCTGTTATTAACTGTAGCCATCATGAGGTACAGTAGATAATCTTGAACTTACACCTGCAGTCTGAAATTTTGTGTCCTTTGGCCAGAATCTCCCAAGTAACTCCACAGCCCTATGCTCCTTTAACCACCCTTACATGCTTTGTTTCTGTGGTTTTGACTCTCAGATGCCACATGTAAGGGACATCATGAGGTATTAGACTTTCTGTGCCTGCCGATCTCAGACTTGAGTATTTTGTGTATTGTAACACAGTGCATGTGAGGACAATTTGACAGCATTTTCTCCAGAGACAGGAAAGGTAGAGGGATCTTCAGGTCCCAGACTCAGCCACTCTTTGCCAGGTAGCTTTGCTTTTTTTTTTTTTTTTCTTTTTCCAGTTGTGTTAAGAACACAACATGAATTCTACCCTTGTTACAAACTTTTTAAATTGTGCTCAGTAAAGTATTAACTATAGGCACAGTGTTGTAGAGTAGATCTCTAGAATTTGTCTTGTGTAACTGAAACTTTGTGTTTAAGCTTTGTGGTTGTCAAGGCAAATGAGATATAAATAAAATTGTTTAGTTTTGAGTGGCCACTCTGCTGGGGGAATGTGTTTGGATTAATTTGTAGACATAAAATCCAAATTGTTGATGACCCTCAGAGGGTCAATTGCATGTATCATTAATACTCATTCACGTGTGTGCTACTTGAATAGATCCTGGCTTGTGACTGGATACTAAAACTCTTGAGGCACAAGGCATTTAAATTCTCCTCACTGCTTGGTGTCACCATGTAATTCTTCTGGGTCCTCCTGCCTTTATCCTTTATCCTTTATCTTTCTTTCCCTAAAATTTGTTCTAGTTTTTAGACCAAGTAGCCAGAACTGTCATTCATGTATGTTTTTCTGGTTAAAAATGTCAGAAACATTAGACCCTCTATGGAACCTGAAATTTCGGAAAGCCTATTCATAGAACATTTGCTGCTACTCTCATGAAAAGGACTTAGCCAAGTTGTGAAGATATGTGTAACGAAAGAACTTCAGACGTGCAGGAATTTGAACGTGTTTGGTTTTACATTTAAATATTTGATCTGGAAGAGTGTAGTCTTTAAATATTGCTCTGTCTAAAATACTTGACTAACATGGGTGGGATGTACTGATCTTAAAATTATCTAATAGCATTATTATGCCTGGTGTCACAGTTTTATTTATTTTAATTAGAAAAGCCAACGTGTCAGCTGTAGGTCAGAATGGATTCTGTTCATAGTATAATCACAACCATGAGGCATGTAAAAAACAGTGAAAAATAGAGAAATTGTTGGAAGAATAAAATTCTTCCTTCAAAGAAAATGAACTGAGCAATTCCTTGCGCTTCCTGTGACCTTTGGAGTCCATCAGGCCTACCACAAATTCAAATGGGCTTTAGGATTCCTTCCTCAGCAGGTGCCCAATAGAAGGGGAAGGACCAACAGAGACGCTCAGCTTGCTGGGGTCTCACTGTGGAGACTCTTTAAATAGCCATTAAAACTCCAGACTGACATGCACTGTGCTTGTTTTTGTTTTCACTCCTGTGACGGTGATTGTTTATGTACCTTTCAGAGACCAGCCATTCCTCTTGGCCTAGCTTCTCACTGGGGCCTTCTCTCTACCCTCATAACTGGCCTTCCTGTTTCTGCTTTTCCCCCGCTCGTCTGTTCTCTGCTCAAAGCAGGACAGTCTTTTGAGAGAATAAGCCAGATGATCAAATTTTCTCCTTCCCTGGTTTGGCTTATTGCACTTCAGTGAAAGATTAAAACTTCATATCTGCCCACCAGGTACCAGGCCCTCCAGTCTCAGCCAGGATTGCCCCTCTTGCTCATTCCCAGCTTCACTGACTTTCTTCCTCTAATTTGTACTTGCCAACTTTGTCCCCTGCCAGCCTCCCTGCTCCTGCTGTCCCTTTACGTGAAGCTTCTCCCCCACTCTGCGTGGTCCCCCCTCTCAGTAATCAGACCTCAATTTCAGCCTTCCTGAGAGGGCTTCTCTATCCACCTGCTTCAGTGGTCCACAAAATCTGTGACCAATGATTGATTTGTAAGTGTCTAAACTGTCGTAGATAGTTTCTGTGGTAAACTATAACGAAGATGGCGTGGCAGTGTCAAATTGCCATGAAGGTTCTCAACATTAACTCTTGGTTCAGCACTTGTCTCATTATGAGCTGGCTGATAGCCAAGTGCTCAGGAGCCAGCCCCAGCCCTTAGGTGATATTTTGGGTAGGAGCACTGCTCTGCTCATTACCCTGCCTGTAGCCCTCAGAACTTGCCTCTCTCTCCAACCCTCTCGCTTGTTTTCATCTCCCTTCAGTAAAATGTGAGCTCCTTTACGGTAGGGATTTTGCCTTGGCCTCATCACCTATCCCCCCACAACACCAAGGTCGGTGCTAATACATGCTAAAGTTCTTGTTAAAGCATGTAAGCGCTCCAGCTCCCTGATGTTCTTGTTTTGTCCAGGCTGGCGCAGTCCAAGTAGGAGAAAACTGTGGGAGACCTTGGTTGCCCCTCCCTGGTTGCCCCTCCCTTCACCCTTGGGTGGATCTGCTTTCTCCCTTTTTTGTCCAGGCTGGCGCAGTCCAAGTAGGAGAAAACTGTGGGAGACCTTGGTTGCCCCTCCCTTCACCCTTGGGTGGATCTGCTTTCTCTCCGTATCTGGTATTGGTCACTGCTTTTGTGACTGTACTATAAAGCGATTCCAGCCTTGGTGATGTTGCTAACATACTACATGACTGTGACCAGGTGGCTTTAGCAGCACAAGCTTCCGTCTTCTTTTGGTTCTTGTACTGGGTATTGAACTCAGGCCTGTGCGCTTGTGTGGCAGGTGGCCGCACCACTGAGCCAAATCCCCGGCCCCTATCTACGTATCTGTAAAGTAGGAATGGCAAAAGTGAGGTCATAAACATTTCCCATAAAGTGAGATCATGCTCTTGGACACACGTTTTGTAAAAGGCCAAAGATTTATACAATCTGAAGAAAAACCAGAGTGTTGGACACACATATTGCAAGCTCCAAACTGCTGTCATTCTGTGGCTTCTCAGATGTGCACCAATTTTCTGACTAAAAGCAAAAGTCAGTTTCTTCCTTCATGTTCTTTTTTGTGAGGTAGAATGGAGTCGGCATACTTTTTCTCTACAGGGCCATACAGTGAATATTTTAGGTATTATAATCCATGTAGTAGACTTCTGTTGCCTCCCCCAACCCTTCCAACTCTGTAAAAATATAACAACTGTTCTTAGCTTGAGGGTCTTAGGAAAGCAGGCCAGCTTGAAGTTTGCTGATCCCAGATGGTGGACAGTGGAAACTTTATTTTCAGTTTGAACAAAATAAGAAGTATGATCCTTCACACTTTTGTTTTTCTTGAATTAGTCCTCTTTCAGAAATGTTGCTAACCACTATATTCATACTATGCATTCTTTCTCCTGCCAAGTGCATTGTAAATGTGAATGAGTTTTGGAACAGTTTCTCTCTGTGCAAAATCATGGTTCGCCAGAGCTGGATTGGTGGTTTATGAGGGGAAACCCAAAGCATATTTGTCCACTTCAAAGACTTCTTTGAGATTGGATGGACCTGGAGGGCTTTATTACGCATCCTGAAGCGGACTCTGTTAATAGTGCATCTTTGTCTGCCATCCACAATATTATATTCGTAATTATTTCTTGAAGTTTCCCCCCTTAATGATTTACCCATTTGTAGACATCTGATGAAACCTTCTGTTGAACTTAGTGCTGATCCAGTTAGTCTTGTTTTATCTCTTGCTAACACCCAAACCTAAATTATTATGAGGTCAAGTTTTACAGTATTATAAACTTTTTAACTGCTTAGTTCTATATAAGGTGTTCTTGGGTACAACTAATCTCATGTAAAAGCAGCCCTTTTCCTGCCAAGATCTCCTGACCTCTTGCAGCCCCATTGTTTTTGTTGTTCTTAATGCCACTCATCTTTTTTTCTTTAATATTCTTTAGTTAGGAATTTTAGTTGGAAATTTTAACTTTAATTCTCTGGAGTTAATGTGGTAGATCTTAGTAAAAAGATAAAATCAGTGGAATTGTACCTAGGTGTCGCTAATTTTGTCTCAGTTTGAGATTGCCTCTTGTTGTATAAGAACTCTGGAACATTGGCACTGTGTAAATGTAGATTTTTAACAGCCCACAACCCAGGCTGCAGTGTAGTATGCTTGTCAGAAGCCAGCTCTGCCACTCCCCAGCTGTAGGATACTGAGCAACTTTATATCCATTTGGATCCACAGTTATCTATAAAGCTGGCCTAGTGAAAGAACCTTCTCTAGAGCATCAATGTGGGTTTTAAATGAATTAATACATGCTCTGTGAAAGTTAGTACCATGTAAGGATTAGTTGTTCCTTAGGGAAAAATAAGTGCTTGCTGATACATATCGATGGTTAGCATTCCACATGGGAAAATTTGTGTTGACTTGCTTTGCCCATTTTGATTTTTTCCCACAGGCTTTTGTGGAGGCCCAGAATAAGATTACTGTGCCGTTTCTTGAGCAGTGTCCCATCAGAGGTTTATACAAAGAGAGAATGACTGAACTGTATGACTATCCCAAGTACAGTTGCCACTTCAAGAAAGGAGACCGGTATGTGATACTGTTTTCATTTAATTTCCTTTTCACTTTCTAGCTGAATGCTCTCTTAAATTGCAAAATACAAGTTCTAAATAATTTATCAGTTTATAAAATTATGTCATCATAAAAAGAATTCATTTCTGTGTTTAAAAAGGAGACTATTCTTTTTTTTTTTAATTGAGTTTATTGGTACATTCTAGGTATACAGTACAGTTACATTCATTACTGGGATCTTGTACCTTTACATGAGAGAAGAATATTCTTTGTTTTATTGGGTGTTGTTATCCAAATTCTTAATAGTTAAGAAATTTAGTAGAGATGTATGCTATGAAGAAGTCTAGATTGTAAGAAATCATTGTTGTCTTAAGGCAAGCAGTTGGTACGATAGGATGATTCATAAACAGCATTGGAGATTGTTTGTCTCTAATATTGTTTTTGGCTCTACTGGTTGAAACCATTGTATTGTATTCATTTCTTAATCCAAAAATGATGAGATGGACCAGGAAGTAGATCTATAATTCAACCCTTTTGTTCCTCTCTCTTTAACATGCACTTGAACATATTCTCTTGTTCTTTTTTAAATCTCTTTAGAGCCACCATCGCAGATTTACTTACCATGCTCTGCCCTTACCCATATCTCAGCAGTTGAGTCTGTGTGCCAGCCCTGCCTGCCACCTGTTTTTAATGAATAAAGTCTCATTGGAACACAGTCATGCTCATTTGTTTATGTATTGGCCACGGCTGCTTTTGTAATACAGGACAGAGTTGAGTATTATAGCAAGAGACTCTGAGATGCATGCTGTCTTGCCTTTTGTGGGACAAGTGCGCTGACCTTGTACCTTAGTAGCCTGGCTAGGGAAGCTAAGGGAATTTCATTTCAGGAAAATCTGCTTGCTTCTTCATTGAAAAAAATAGTTAATGCTTGAGTGTCAGTTGTAATTTTACCAAATCAACCTTTGTCTCTGTTTAGTTACTGTGCAGAATTATAGTAAGTTATTTACCTACAGAAAGCAATTCAGGTAATAAGCTTTAGGTACAGGGAGCCAGTGGGATCTTTCACAGTAGCACTACTGCCTCTGTCACCGCCTGATCTCTGTTGTACCTTTCTGCTTTGGGGATTTTGTTTCATGTTTAGTTTTAGTCCACAAATAGAAAACGCTGTAGCTAAATAAAGAGCATCTCTCTCCTGCAGGTATTTTTATTTTTACAATACAGGTTTACAGAACCAACGAGTATTATATGTGCAAGATTCCTTAGAGGGTGAGGCCAGAGTGTTCCTTGACCCCAATGTCCTGTCTGATGACGGCACAGTAGCCCTCCGAGGTGAGTCCCACCGCCCAGGCTCTTGGGAGTCCGGAGGCTGCCCTTGTTGCTCTGAACTTAGTGTAATTGCTGCACTTTGAAATGCCACAGGGAGTTCAGACCATACTGCAGAACAGATGCACGTACAGTATTAGTGGAGCTAACTTTTGCACGATATATTTAGAACATGAATTTCACATTTTCTTTCTCACTTCGATAGCATGAAGCAGAACTGGAGAATAATTTCACACTGGACCTGGTTTAGCTTTGGGGATCTTGAAGTATCATCATCTTTTCCTATAGTATCCCTGAGACCTATCTGTAATTGGAAAAGTTAAATCCTCTGTTGCAAGAAGTGCAAGCTGTACAGCCAGGCGTGGTGGTGCACACCTGCAATCCCAGCACTCGGGAGGCTGAGTGAGGCAGGAGCATCACTGGAAGTTCGAGGCCAGCCTGGGATATGTAGCGAGCTCAAGGCCAGCCCAAACTACACAGCAAGACCCTGTCTCAAAAAACCCAAACAGACAAACAAATGTAAGCTGTACAAAGAATGTTCAATATTCTAAGTATAAGTATAAGCCAAGAAAGAATATTATCAGATCTGTTTCCTCAGAGGACAGTCATCAGAGTTTCAAAATCAAATTAATTTTCAGCATGTTAGAATTATAAGCAAAAAACCCCCACAATGTTATAGAAATTCAACAACTTGATATCTTGTCCCCTGAAGATACATCTTAAAAATGGAATGATTTTACCTGCAGTTGTCTATCATTTACATAACTGCCCTTAAAATAATTTCCTCCATAGTTCATAGAGAAGATAGCCCCAGGTTTGTGCTATAAGCAGAGTTCTAGTAGGAAGTAGGTTATTTTCCAGTTCTATGGTTTAAAAATAGCACACTTTAAAAATTATCTTTTAGCTGGGCATGGTTGGTGCCCTCGTACTCAGAAGACTGAGGCAAGGGGACCACAGTGGTTTGAGGCCAGCCTGGGCTACATAGTGAGCTCAAGGCTAGCCCAAACTACATAGCAAGAAAGAAAGAAAGAAAGAAAGAAAGCAAGCAAGCTCCAAACCAAACCAATACATGCATACATATATACTTATATCATACAATCTCTTGATTAACATTATAGATGTTCCTAGTGAAGTTGTCTCACCATTGGCCCTGTAGTACCTCTGCTTCTTAAGAACAGGCATGGCTTTGGCTCTCTAAAATTGAGAAGTTGGAACAATTGTCATCCTCTGTGATTGGTGGGTTGGGTATAAGGAGACTCCTGTTGTATCAGGTCTGTACAAAGACCTGTATACAGGCACTTCTAACCATGACTCAGTCATTCAGTGGTCTGCTTTCTCCTCTTTACAAAGATGATCCTTCATCACATAGGTATGGAAGGTAAGATGCCAACTACCTCCTTGATAAACAGTTGTCCATGAATACGAATGTGGAGTTTTAAATGAATTTGATAAACTGGCTCTGATGTAGTTATGCATCCTGGATAGGAATTCATTTCCTTTTCACAAAGACCTACCTTGCAAGCTATCCAGAAGGATCTCACTGTAACAGGGTCTTACCTCTTGTGATGATACATTCCAGTGACTTCATGTTTGCTACCTGCAAGGGTGAGAAGGCACATTAGACAGGAGTGCTGGCCTCAAAAAGTCACTCACTAAGTTTTTTGAGAGTGGTGTTATAGGGAAGTTAAAAAATTCAGTCTCTTGTTAGCATGTCATTTTCTAACATTTTGCAGGGAGGAGGGTATGGGGGATTGAACTCAGATTTTTCTAACATATTTTAATGTTTTATTTAAAAATTTCCTGAAGTTTTTCTAATTATGTAGAAAAAAAAATCCAAGCATTGTAGTGCCATCTATGCACAGTAAAATGGGAATATCTTTTTATCCTCCATTCCTCTTCAGACTCTTACTCTGCATTTACCTAAATATCAGCCTGGGTACTGTACAGGACTAATAAGTAGGTTATAGGATTAATAAGTAGGTTCTATGAAATTTTAAACTTGTTGCCTATTAATTCAAATTCCCATAAAATAATGTAAAGCTTCTGATATTTGAACTTCTTACAGTTTCGTCCTTAGTAAACTTGAGAAAACTGTGTAAGAGGATATCTCTGGGATTGGAGTCTCTAATAGTAGAAGTGGTTTCAAATGCTGTACATACTTCATAATTATAAAGCAAACATAAAACTTGTAAATATTTGTCAAGAAACATTCCATAGTGATGAGAACCTTCTGCCAGGGCCCTAAAGAATTGGACATGGCATGACCGTCTGTAGACATTGTGGATTTCAGTCACTTTTGGAATGTGCATGCCATGTACCCTCACTGCAGGCCTTCAGGCTTTATTTACCTAGGGCTGTGATGTCAGGAGGTGCGGACATTAATCCTGGAGTGCCAGTAATACCCTGAAAATTAGGTTGGAAGGAGGGATTTCAAATAGGAGTCTATCCCCGAAATTACTTAATAGCTACCATTTAATCCTATTATGTGGTATGTGTCAAAATCCAGTTATTACTGTAAGAGTAGTTTTCTTTTTCCTTATTCCCTTTAGAGTATAAATAAAATATGTAGAAAGTCTCAGATGCACTCTGCTTTTAACTGAGTTATAAAAATTTCAAAAAGGAAGCATAATTCACTGCTTCACTTTTCCAGTAAAGAAACTAAGACCTAGAGACGTTAGGAACTCCGTCCAAGGCCATGAGGGCAGTGCCTATGAGACCCGGGCTAAGCGAGCATTGCTCGCTGCCAGTTTCATATTTCAAGGAGATTTGTCAGGCAATGCAGAAGACATGGGAAGGCCAGGAGCTGCTGTGCCTCATGTCACCATGTTCTCTTGTCCCCACAGGTTATGCATTCAGTGAAGATGGTGCATATTTTGCCTATGGTCTGAGTGCCAGTGGCTCAGACTGGGTGACGATCAAGTTCATGAAAGTTGATGGTGCCAAAGAGCTTCCTGATGTACTTGAAAGAGTCAAGTTCAGCTGTATGGCCTGGACCCATGACGGGAAGGGAATGTTTTACAACTCGTACCCCCAGCAGGATGGAAAGAGTGATGGTACGTGAGGACCCCGGTGAAGCACTCTTGCACCAAAGGAGGTGTGACTTCCCGCCTCAGAAAATGAAACTAAACTCTAAAAGTTGTTTGGTGGTCTAGAGCCAGGTTTCCTCAGAGGGAAAGACCTCACCAGAACTTAGTCGCTTAGAGTAGTAGCTATTGGTTTCTTCTGTACGCGAGTCTGTGGGTTAGCCAGGCAGTTCTTTGGGGCTTTCCTAAATTCTGCTGTGTCTGTGGCCTGCTGCTAAGTCAGTTGGTGAGTCAGTTGCTGATCTTGGCTTTGCTCGTTCACAGTCCTGATCCTCACATGGAACAACTAGGTTGTCTGAACTCCACTTAGTGTGCCCTCTCACCCTCTACTAGCTGTAGTACCTGGCCCAGGCCTGTTCACACTGCGACTCACCAGGATCCCGAGAGGGAGAGCTGGAAGGCATAACAAGCACATCACCTTCCCCGCATTTTGTGGGCCAAAGTAAGTCACAGGGCCAGCCCTTCCTCAGCGGGTAGGAAAACATTCAGAAATTGGGGCCAATATTGCAGTCAGTCCTTCATAGGCACACCTCTCCTTTCTGTCTGTCTCCCAAGGGGATCATGGAGGAGAAAGATTTTTAAAAAGAAAACTAACCTATTAGATGTTGCTAAGTAATTGTAAGACTCTCCTGCTGTAGCAGTCATTTCTCTTCCTCTGATTAGAAGTTCCACGTCACCCTTTGCTTGCATTTATCTTTTCTCTGTTACTTCCTGGACACACCTTTATTGATACTTCTCGAGTTGCACAAAGATCCTGTTGTGTTCCTGTGGTCCCTTCTTTTTTCCCCCACTTCACCCTTAATCACCCCAGACAGGTAGGGCCAGGTACCATCTCATACTGGTGCAAGCTGTCAGCAATCATCGTGCTACTTACGCTACACCTAACATCTCCAGGTGATTTGCAGCAGTTTGCTGTAACTCACTTGGTCTGGTCTGACGTATAGTCTTTATGATCTCTGTTAGACCCGAGGCGCTCAGATGCAGACGCTCGGGAACTGCCTGAGCATGGCTGCTCTAGGGCTTTCTGCTGTGACTTGTATCTTTGCCATCTTGGATATGCTTGCTTTCTTTTCTGTTTTCCTTCGGTTGAGTTGGGAATGAGGCTGTAATGCCTTTTATTTGTTATGGCTGTGTTTAGCTTTGCTGCCTTTTTTTTTTTGATACTGGGATCAAACTTGGGACCTTGCACTTGTACTCACCGAACCACTGAGCTAAATCCCTCATCCTGCTGCCTTTTGATTAGGCTACAGAAAGACCTTTATCTTAACTCACCAAGGAACTACAAGAGGCGCTAAGAGTAGGCTTTTTATTCAAGGATGTTGATTGAAGAATGGCATCTGTACTCCACACTGAATTAGCTGCGTGTATTCCGAGTGCCCTAGAAAAATGTTAGAAGACGTTTGTTATTTCCAAGTTCTGGGAGACAGAAAAAAAAAAAAAAGAATAAATTGCCCATTTTTGTTAAACAATGTTACTAAGTTAACTTGTGAAAAGCATGAAAGTTATTATCCTTAGCTTTCGGTGGCTGAAATAAAAATGATTAGTAATGGTGACTGATTTCAGAAAACCATTGTCTTCCCAGTTGTAATTCTGTTGCCCCTTTTAAAAGAGGATCTCAGCAGCCTCTCAGACTCTAATGGGATATGCTTTTTACCAGTGTTCTGGGAAACCGAGTATCTCCTAAGTACCATAAAGTTGTTTTGTTTTGCTTTTGATTTTGTTTTGTTGCAGTACTAGAGATCGAACCCAGGGCCTTCTCACTGATAGTTACAGTTGAGGCTCAAATTTGGAATCCTTCCTCCTCAGCCCTTCAGAGCGAGATTCAAATCACACATCTGTGACTAGCTAAAATATTTTTACATTATATTTTTATCTTCTTTTTTTTTTCCTTTTATTGCCCTGACAGCTTGATACGTTTTCATAATGAAAAGATAAAGTTCAGTGTTAGAATAGTCTCCCAAAACAGCAAAGATTTTAGGATGATATCCAGCTGGTATTTCCTTTAATAAACTTTAGTTCACAGGAAAATCGAGAGAAAGGTAATTGCTGCATGCACCTTCTGTTCCCACATAGTGTGTTCTCAACATTCCCCACCAGAGTAGCATGTTTATTTTAGTTGATGAATCTGTGTTGACACATATTGTCACCCAAAGCCATCGTTTACATTCTGCTTTGCTCCTGGTGCTGTGCATGTTATGGCCATGAGTTTGGACGAAGGTTTAATGGCTTGTATCCAAACACTGTAGTATCATGTCTTTTCACTGCCCTAGAAAGTACTCTGCTCTACTTATTCATCTCTTCTTTCCCCAACTGCTGTCCACCACTGATTGTTTTTTCTTATTGTCTCTTTTAGTTTTTTCTTTTCTCGTGTCCTATAGTTGGCATTATATAGAACATAGGTTCTTCAGATTGACTTTCTTCACTTAGTAATAAATAATACATTCAAGTTCCCTCCGTGTCTTCATGGCTTTTTTTTTTTTTAGTGCTGAATAATATTCTACGGTCCAAATGTACCACATTTTATCTATTCACTTACTGAAGGACATTTTGGTTGCTTTTAAGTTTTGGCAAATAAGCATAAAGTTGCTGCTTTAAAAAGTTTATTGTTACATTTTTATGTGGACATACATTTTCACTTCCTTTGGGTAAATACTAAGGAGCACATTATGTATGTAAGAGAGTATTAACTTGTGTAAAAATGTCCAAAACCATATTCTAAAGTGGCTTTACCATTTTGCTTTCTCACCAGTATACAATGAGAGTTCCTTTTGTTCCACTTCCTCACTAGCATCTGACATAGTCTTCTGAATTTTGGTTTTTCCAGTAGGTGTGTAGTAATTACCCACATATCTAAAATGTTATTGCCAAATCTAAGGACATTGAGACTTTCTCCTGTGTCGTTCTCTATGGGTTTTATAGTTCATGTAGTCATCTGTTCTTATAATTTGCATAATACCTGATGTGGAACATCTCTTGGTATGCTTATTTGCAATATACATATTTTCTTTGGTGTAGGGTATCTGTTAAGATCCTTGACCTAGTATTTAATCAGGTTGTTTTCTTGTCTTATCAGTTCTTTGTATATTTTGGATAACTGTACTCTGTCAGGTGTTTTGCAAAAATGTTTCCTAGTCTCTGACTTTTTTGTCATTCTCATAGGATCTTTTGCCAGGCATACATTTTTAATTTTAATGAAGCCTGTTTTATCAATTATTTATCTAATGGATTGTGCCTTTGTTGTTATATCTAGATTTTCTCTTAACCTTTTAAGAGTTTTATAGTTTTACATTTAGGTCCATGTTCTATTTTGAGTTAATTTTTGTGAAAGATATGAAGCCTGTGTCTAGATCCATATTGTGTTTGTGTGTGTGTGTACAATTGTTACAGCACTGTTTATTGAAAGCTTTTGTTTTCTCTTATATTTTCTTTGTTCCTTTATCAAAGATCAGTTGACTGAATTTATGCAGGGCTGTTGCTGGGCTTTCATTTCTGTTCCACTCACCTATTTGTGTATTCTTCGGCAATATCACACTGTCGTGATTACTGTAGCTTTATTGTAATTCTTGAAGTCAAGTAGTATTTTCTTCTTTACCTTCAGTATCTCTTGGCTACTGTGGAACTTTTGGCTCTCCATATAAACTTAAAATAACTTACTGGGATTTTGGTTGGGATTTTGCATTCATTCTACAAATCAAGTTGAGAGCAACTGACATCTTGACTATATTGAGTCTCCCTATTTAAAAGCACGAATTAACTCCCTGTTTCTTTTTTTTTTCCCAGAAGAATTTTATAGTTTTCCTTACTTAGATGTTATACCTATTTTGTTAGATTTATACCTTGAGTCTTTTATTTTGTGGGATGCTCATGGAAATGGTATTGTATTTTTAATTTCAAATTCTACTTGTACCTGATCTATAGGAAAGCCATTGATTTCTGCCCATTAACCTTGTATTCTGCAGCCAAATACTAATATTGTAAGTGTTTCTAGCATTGTACATTTTGAGTGGAGTAGAATTTCTTAAAATTGCCAACTGCATATCAGAATGCATTTTTAATTTCTTTAGGTACAGAAACATCAACCAATCTCCACCAAAAGCTCTGCTACCATGTCTTAGGGACTGATCAGTCAGAAGATGTTTTGTGTGCCGAGTTTCCTGATGAACCTAAGTGGATGGGTGGAGCTGAGGTATTGTACAACTGAAATTTTGCTCTCCAAAATCATGCCATTTATAT